TACTAACAAGAATTAACAATAAACTATACTAAAAAAATAATGATCTAAACATGCAATATCCTATGAAAATTAAAATGAGAGAGAGAGAGAGAGAGAGAGAGAGAGAGAGAGAGAGAGAGAGAGAGAGAGAGAGAGAGAGAGAGAGAGAGAGAGAGAGAGAGAGAGTGGTTTGGCTTTATCGTCCTTGCATGAGCCTACTTCACTCTCCAATGATTTTCCATTGAAAGTTGTTCTTCCACTATGTTTTGACAATTATTACTCGAGCTCATACAATCATAGAATTCACAATAACGCTAAGAAACATAAATCTCATATATGGATCTGGACTTGTATACAAAACTAATGTTGTACTCTCTGCGTAATCTTTACTCGATTATCGCTTCTTGAATCTTCCAGCTACACCAATATGCTCCAAGTCTGTGTATGTGGCAATTCCCCTTGATCACATTGATTTCTTGAGCATTGAATTGTTTGAAGATTGAGAAGAACTCCTACCTAGCTTGTATGTAGGAGTCCACATAACACTATCAAGTTTAATCTAGAGAGAAAAAACTTCTTCTTTTCACAAAAATTTGTCACCACTTGTCACAAGTACAAAGATCTTGCAAGCCTCCTAAAAACATTTACACACTCTTTAATAAATGTTAGTTTCAAGAAACATGTCCCTCAAAAATTACAAATATTGCAAACAAGATCTGAATCCAAACAAGTGATTAAAAATGGAAAAAATTTAATTGCAAATGATTTAAGTTTTCAAAACAGGAAGTTGTTATCATTTATTTACGTATGTTATGCTCGTTATTTGAAAAATGGGAGGTGACAAAAGATTTACAGGTGTTGGAGATTAAGCGCAAAAATAGATGAAAAAAAGGTTGTTTGATTTGAGTTAAGACCATTTGTTGATTTGAGTCAAGTGAACAAGTAGAATGAAACAAGATCAACACAAAAGAAATGACCCATTTTTTCGTGATTCGAGTCAAGTTATAACTATGATTTAAGTCATGAAAGGTCATGATTCGAGTCATGTAGTGTCGTACCTCAAAAAATATGATCTTTCGTAAAGCGTATTGAACACTTGCAAGAAAATAGTTCAAACAGAGTTGCCATCAAGCTTTATTTTATTCTAATGAATGAAGGAGAAAATATCGATAAAGCCTTTAAAAAGAAAATGGCCATCGCAACCATATTCGGGTTCGGGAGTCGATTACGTAAGGGGAAGGTATTAGCACCCCTCACGTCTGTTGTACTCAACGGGAATCTCTTAATTAAACTTGCAATTGAATATTAACTAATGTTATTTTATTTCTTCGAATGATAAAAAGTAAAAAGAGAAAAGAAAGGGGTCGTAAAAATGTTTTTATTATGGTGCTTGACGAGATTGCAGATCTCGCTCCTACACATCCTTAAGTACAATGAGGAACTTAAAGCTTCGTAGTTCGGGGGAAAGGCTACGGTTTGTTGGTTTTCTTTAACGAAAAAGTACGTAGATCAATTTTTAAGGATAAAACATTGGCTTGCATGCTCGCGGTGGAGACTTAAGCGCTAGTTTGCATACATGTTAGAAGGGATTAAGTAAGGTTCTTTTGAAAAAAAATTTGATTGATTACAGTGTGTTAAGGTGAACACATGTTTAGATCAATCTTAATGGTTAAACGTTGGCTTGCATGCTCACGGGGGAGACTTAAGCGCTAGTTTGTCTACGCATTAGAAGAGATTAGACAAATGTTCTCTTGCGATAGGTTTTCAAATCGCACGAGGGCGAGAAAATAAGTTTGATATTTTTGAGTATTTTTTAAAGGTGAATGATGAATATTTGGTAAGAACGAGATGTGAGCCTCAGAACCAATTAATCGGGATATTATCAGAATGCTAGATCCCAACAATACCTTTTTTATTCGATTAATTATGAAATTTATTTGATGGACAATGAACATTCAAAAAGATAGTTCAAAGGTTCCACAGGAATGCTATACTTGAATGATCCCTCTTTTCTTCCAAGTTATTATGTTAAGTATTTTTAGAAACGAAAAGAGTTAATGAGAGCTAATCCAATGTGTGTGCCCCGAGAGCAATTATTCAAGGATTCAAGGAATAGGAGACTTCAAGGATCCATTTCTTTCGTGTTTGATTATGAAAAAAAAAGTTTTCACTAAACTTAATCGAGAGAAAAACTTTGAATCAAGATGAAGATTATTTAATTTGGTTTAGAGAAAAATGCTTGGTGTTGGACTAAGACTTTAGAATAAAGTCAGAATTATTTATTCTATTATTTAATCAATATCATTATATATTTATTTATTTAACTTTGCAATAAATAAATAAATAAATAAATAACAATTAATCAAATAATAAAATAAATGATAAAAACAAATTTGAAAATTATGACTAGTTATAGTTATTTATTTAATCCTAATAATATTTATTTAGTTGATTAATAATGATCAAATAAATAAATAATTAAAAGAATTTAAATAAATAAACATAAAAGAAAATAATGAAAAATATTTTTAGAGTTATATTATTATATAAATACCATTTAATTGTTGATTAAAGTTAATGTTATAATAAAAAAAGATAAGTAAGTAATTAAACAGAGTTAAGAGAAAAAAGCTTCATGATCCAAAATCAAAAGCAACAACAATATGTCATGGGGTGCAGGAAGTAAGATATGGAGTGAGATCCTAAAAAGAAGTAGCCAACAAGCCCATGGAGTTGTTGTTAGCCATCGGGTTGGGCTAAAGGCCCAAACCCGTACTACCTGATGCGAGGCTGGGGAGAAAGTGAAGGGAATGAAGGAGGTGTGCCTCAAACTCTTCCCACAAATGGTCGGTCAAACAAAAATGCCATCAATAAGTGGCATCAGTATCCAATGACAACACATGTAGAGTTGTCTTGGAATTGTAATATAATGACAATTTTTATTCAAAGAAAAAATTATATGATTCTTTTCATTTTCATTGTTACCATTTCTCTCTATCTCTCTGAACATAGGGCGCCCCCCATCTCTCTGAATTCCTCATGTCAGAGTAAGACCAGTGTGGTGGCCATTTTGGATCATTTTGAATTTGAATTTTAAACTTTGAACCCAATTTCAATGAAGCATCTTGACTAAAAGATCAATAGCCCACCCATGGTTAATATGTAAAACCTCATAAGACTTGGTCAACAAAAAGTCAACCTTCCATGGTTGACTTTGTTTACCAAAAGTCAACCTTGTGTGAATAGCTTCTAAATCTTCTTATTCATGATATGCACTAATACAACTACTATGTCTTGAACATGATTAGGGATTCCAAAGATTAGGTTAAGAAAATCCAACATTCAAAATTTACTTTGACCAAAAAGTCAATTGTAACACAATAGTACCAAAAGCTTGTTTCGCAAGTGCACACAACAAGAAACCTTAGTCCAACCAACCTCTGGGATATCTTGTACTATAAGTAACCAATAAATCATCTGATCAAATTATCCACATCCAAGTATCGAGTAATCTAGTAGAAATACAAACAATAGGAATCCTTTGAACCAATAATGTTACATGTATATGCAAGTACAAATGAATGATCCTAAAAATGAATGATTAGGGTAAACGTATGCATATGAATCAAAATCCATAAGCCAGATAAAATGAAAATAGGTAGGGCAAATTTTCGGATATGACAACAGCACGCACGCGTATTCGAATAGAAATGGATACGACGAACAAAATGGTGAGATTATGTAGTTCATGTCTTCAGCCCAAACACAATTGTACAAACTGTCCCAATGTTGGATTAAGCTCCACAACATAATTCAATAATCAACTTTTAGTCCGACATTTTATATGTAATTCATTTTATGTAACCATTTCATTTGATATTGAAAACAACATTCATTTCATAACGATAACAACATTCATTTACAACAATTTAAACATCAACTAGACAAAAAGATAAACAAATCAAACGAGTAAACATCATATCTATGTGATTACAACCATCGTGACAATTTCATATGAACTATGCAACATAATACAACAATCATTAGTTTTAACTGACTCCTAGATACAACTTTCTTTATTGTTGTTGTACACCGTAACAAGCTTTTGAATTCTTCTGATCTTTTCACCGTCTGCAATGTCTCCATTTAACCAACAAATCAAACTCCTCTGAAGATGCTTGAAAGTCTCTGTTTTTCAGAGTCAGATCTTCATCGGAGACTTTACTGTTGAATAAATCGAATTGACATTTCTCTTAATAATATATCACGACATTTTGAAAAAAATTAAAAAGAGATAATGAGAAGATGGGTGAAAAATGACGGAGAAGGGAAACACTATATATAAACAACCCAAAACAACACATTAGCCACTAGCTATGACGCATGCTCATAGGTGATGCATGTAGCGCCATAGGCAGTGGCATGACATGAATGCATGCACTATACCCCATGGCGCCTTGGTTTAAAATATGAGTGCATGCGTCAATGCCTGTGGCGCCTCCTCTTGTGGTGGATTTTTTTTTGTTTGAAACATGATTATTTTGGTCTTTTTTTTTTTAAATATGGTTATTTAAAAAAAAAATTAAAATTTTTTTAAAAAAAAATTCTAAAACTCACAATCTTTAAGATTATATTTGGATTGACGAAATGAAGCGCAACAGAATAAAGTGAAATAGAGTAAAACGGAGAGAAACATAATAATATCTCATTCTATTGTTTGAATATTTAAAAATAGAATATGATAAAAAATATTATTCCGCTTAAATCAGATGAAATAAAATTGAAAATAATAGGATTGAATGAAATATTTTTCATTATATTTTGTTTTTTTTCCACTTTTTTTACCAATCTAAATAATAAAATATAAACATTATTCAATTTCATTTGGTCAATCCAAAGATAGCCTAAAAGAACTAAACTAATAAGAAAATATAAATAAAAAAAATAAAGTGAAGAACTGATTTTTGTAACGTTATCTTTGAAGAAAGGTTGTTTTTGTTTGAGCAGAAAGAAATCAAATAATGATGCAACCCACAATAGAATCTAAAATCTTCATCTTCTCGTCTCTCTCTCATTCCAAAATTCTTCTCGTCAATTTTCTTTCCTACTCTTCCTTCTGCATTAGGGTTTCCCTCCATGCCCCACCGTTTCCCTTCTCCGCAGGTGCACTGCACCCAACGATAGGTACACTTCCTTTTGTCTCTTTCCTAGAACCTTCATTGCATTTTCTAGGTGTAAAACCACTTGCAACTTTTTCTCAAAAGTCACCTAAAACCAAACCTTTCCACCTTTTTAGGGTTCTAGTTTTCTCTACCCATTGAACTCAAATTAGACTTTTCTTTGGTTATTTTTGCACAATTGGACAAAACCCTTCTTCTTTGTTGCAACTGCATTTGATAATTCCTAGCTCACACTCTAATTTTGTTTTATTGTGTCTCTAGGGTTTGCACTTCATCCCCAATTTCTAATAATGATCAAAGGGTCATCTTTGGAGTCATAATGTGGAGGAGTTTTTACAAGCATCTAAATTTGTAGTTCCAACTTTCTATAAAAGTTGTGTTTTTTTTTTTGTGCATTCAGTTTCAGGTATTGTTTTTACAAACCCCTCTTTGGAACATGGGTTGTTCCCATGGCAAGTGTTGCTGTGTCGAATCTTCTTCATTGGATAGAGACTCTAGAAAAACTGGGTTTCATCATAGTCATAGGAAGAACATACTGGCTCAGAGAGTACTGAAACATGTTTCTGTTCCTTCACATAACTTTGTTTTGGAGTATACCTTTCTCACACTGCGAGGATACTACCCTGATTCACTGGATAAACAAAACCAAGATAATTTTTGCATCAGGACACAAATTCAAGGTAACCCCAATATTCATTTCTTTGGTGTTTTTGATGGGCACGGTCAATTTGGTAGTCAGTGTTCAAACTTTGTTAGGGATAGGTTGGTAGAGAAATTATCTAATGACCCTGCATTGGTGGAGGACCCTGTTCAAGCCTACAATTCTGCCTTCTTGGCAACAAATCATGAATTGCATACTAGTGACATTGATGATTCTATGAGTGGCACAACGGGAATTACAGTGCTTGTTATTGGAGATACCCTCTATGTTGCTAATGTTGGTGATTCGAGAGCTGTGTTAGCTGTTAAGGACGGGGATCGAATTGTTGCACAGGACTTGTCCTCTGATCAAACACCATTTCGGAGAGATGAATATGAGAGAGTGAAACTTTGTGGAGCAAGGGTGTTGAGTGTTGATCAAGTGGAAGGGCTCAAGGATCCAAGTATCCAACATTGGGGTAACGAAGAGAGTTGGGATGGCGATCCTCCGAGGTTATGGCTTCCAAATGGGATGTATCCTGGAACTGCATTTACAAGGAGTTTAGGGGATAGGTTGGCGGAGACAATTGGTGTGGTTGCTACTCCTGAGGTGTCAATAGTTCGGCTTACACCTAATCATCCCTTCTTTGTTGTTGCTAGTGATGGCATATTTGAATTCTTGTCAAGCCAAACTGTTGTTGATATGGTATGATATGAAACCTTCTCTCTTGGCTCTTTTTTTACCTCTCAAACTTTTAGCTTGTGATTGCAGTCATAGTTGTGGTTACATCATGATCATTAATATTGTGAAGATCTGTGGACAAACATGTCTGATGCTGCCAGAGTTATGGCTGTGATGTGATTATGAAGACTTAAAAAACTTCACATTGTGGTGCCAAAGATGGTTGTGAACTGTAATTTAGTGTGTATATTTTACTAAGTATTTCGATAACATCATCCTAGCTAGGCTGAAAAATTTATGACTGATTTAATCTGGCTCACTATAATAATTGTTAAAACCAACCATCTAATTATAAATTGTATTATTTATTGATGTTCTATGATAGAACCAAGAACCAACCGGTATGTTATATTGAAAATGGGGAAGAACCCCTTTTGATTACAACAATGGCAGCACTTCGAGGGTCTGCTTACCTCCCAATGCTATAAGGCCCTATTCTCAAATTACAAGATAAGATCCCCTTTCTAAACCACCTATCTATTTATAGGCAGCATTTCTTATTTGGCCAAACTAACTCACAACAAACTACTAACTACCCGTTAACTCACTCACTAACCAACTACTTAACTAATTTGTAAAAACTTAACTAACAATTAGAGACCTATCAGAGTACAAGTTGCAATTGAAGACTTTGGCTTGAAAATCAGCATAAATTAATATTATCTGTGCAGTTATGTTTATGGTTCTTGAGTATTTCAAATGTCTGTACATTCTTTTCTAAAGAAGAGTTTACATACACCACAAGAAACACCGTTATAAGATTAGTTTTTAACTGTTATAGCCTCATGAGGGAATCAATAACCATAGGTTTCTCGTTAGCATAACTGTTCATATACCAGGTAGTCCTGCAGATATAAATGAGATCAGAGAACACAAGAAAAGTTGTTTGTCACAAGGGCTCATCATATGGGGGTGGTGTATGCTTCTCCACATTTCATGTGTTAATTAGGTCTATCTATCCACTTCTCATATTCATTAACTGCCGTAATCATGCGGACCTTAATTCTAAATAGTCTGTGATAAAATTGCTAGCTGCCAATAGTGCTTTGCATATGAAGTGTTTAGACAATTCATCTAATTGTTAGTTACTTGTTCAGTAGAAAAATGTAAAATCTTACCCTGCTTGCTGCTAATCATCCCTAACCTTCCCCTATAGACAACAATTTCAATGTTTACTCTCTGTTGCATTACTTTGTAGAATTTTAACTCTGGCATGCTTAATCTTGATAAATATGAGTTTTCTTTGATGGTGTAGACAGCGAAATTTACAGATCCCCGTGATGCATGTGCGGCCATTACCGAAGAGTCATATAAACTATGGTTGGAACTTGTGAATCGAACAGATGACATAACAATTATCATTGTCCAGATTAAAGGATTCTCTAATGTATGGATTATGGAATGTGTTCCTTCATTATCATTTTCTTTTTATATTTACTTCCTTCAATCTTGTTTGAAATTCAAAATAGTATTCAAATCAAAATCTTGCTATTGAAGGTTCAGTGGTTAGAATTACCTCATCATTGATTGACTTGTTTATCTAACTTTTAGCCTGACTTTGTAGTCAAGTACATCTGGAATTGAATCAAGTGAGGTCAATGTTGGTACTGCAATGAGAACCAGGACAGGAACTTCTGAGATATCTGATACCACAGATATTGATGTTTATCGTTCTGTGACGAGCAGTTTCTCTGATTCACAATCATGCCAGCATGTGGCTTCAACGAGGAGCCCAGACACAGTTGTTCACTCTTAATCATGTCGAAGATCAACTGAATCAGTATGATCTCAACTCTCACAAACATTGTTGGTATTTTTTATATTGTATGATCATGATCTGTATAATTACTTTACCTTTTCTCCCTCTTTGCTTTGCAGTGATCGAAAGAGAAGGATTTTACCGAAGCTCACCACGCCTCCTTGTAGTTTCTCCCAAGTGGCACGTTTATATGTTCCAACTTTTCTGAGTCTTTGGCATCGGTCTTGTACATTTACCGGTCACTGTATATTTGGTTGTTCAAGGTTGCCGGTATGTATGAGGTGCACTGTCATGGAAGCAAAACATGACCTTGTTCAGAAAGTAGAAATTCAAGTTACTTGTTTAGCTATACCTTTTTCAGAAAGAAAAAAAAACTTGTTAAACCATACAGAATCTCATCTTGAGAATGTTTTATTGTATCAATAAGATAATAATCTGTATCAAATGCTCCTTAAATATACCTTGTATGATTCACGCAAGCAATAACTAAAAACGGGATCCTATTGTTAACTTTGGTAAAAAATGTAAATAATTTAGTCATCTTACATAATTTTAAAAGTAACTTATGTATGTTTGGATTAGTTGTGAGTTGGGAAATATCATGGATTTTGTGAAGCTTTAAAAATGTAATTTTTGGCTCCGTGTGATTATGTCAATCCAAAACATGCATTAGCAAACCTGAAAATTTGTTGCTTGCAAAAATGATGTATTACTTGTTATTTTCTTAGAATTTTGTTCACTCGTTCATTCAGCAAATGATAAATAAAAATACATATCTTTTGTAAACAAAAAATAATACAGGAGTATGCAACAAGATGAGATTCCGAAAATGATGGATATTAAATTAATGTGTCGCGTGCCTTTGGACTTAGCCATGTGTCACCAGATGGTTGGACTTAGCCATGTGCCTTATAGTCAAAGTAATTTTTAAGAGTATTGACATTGGCCTTAGGTCAAATATTTTCGAAGCCTTTATTTAGAAACCGACTCACGCTAGATCTCTGAAAAGGCAAACTTTTTCCCACTTTTATGGTATCATATTATTTAAAAGTGTCTTCAGAATTTTTTTAAAATGCATATTCGAACGCACTATAAATTTCTTCACCCTTCATAAAGCAAACAACCACTTTATTTTTGTCAAATATTGGTCCGAAAATGCACTTGTGAATATTTCTAAGATAAATTTGAAGATGCATATTTGAAAGTACATTTCATCCTTCATAAATTAAGTAGCCATCCCATTTTGTCAAAAAATGGTCCGGAGATGCATCTGCGAATATTTCTGGGGTAAACTCGAATATGCATCTCAGAAATCTTCTCTGCATGTTTCTTGGGCAGAAATGTTGTCCTAAATTTGTATTTTATTTTAATCCAAAGTCATTTTACTTTGGCTAACATTGGCATTATTTGATTCAAATCTTAATAAACACGAATATTATAGAACAAAGTAATGCGTTAATTAAAAAAATATCCAAATGCGTGTTTATTAAGGTTTGAACTAGAATGACATTATTTGTTTAACATTGACATTATTTACAAATTATGAAGAAATAAAAACTAAAACATCCCAAAATACAAATAAAAACATAACATACTGTGTATGTCTAATTCTAACCCTCTGGCTCCTCTTCTACCGCTGGTAACCCAAGGCATTATGTGCCTCAGTAAGAATGGAACGTGTTATGGCAACCACATCATCATCGTCTCTCTTAAGAAACACAAGCTTGCAAGACCGGAGTACTGAAGGACACTCTATAACCAATGATCCTTAGGCTGATAAAGCTTCTGAATCTTTTTTCTATGATTAACAGACTTCAAACAATCACACTCTTGTTAAAAAAATCACTCGCATGACAAGTGTTTAAAACATATAAATAACAATCGTTAAAAAGTACCTCTTTAGCCCACACATGGCCATCAACATGATCTCTATAATATATCAGTAAGGAGGTGTCAAAGGGTCATCCTATAAAAAAGTATGCATGTACCTTCCCAGTCTACGTGATCATGGGAGACATGCCACTAGGATGAGGACCCTTATGGCAAACGGTTCCTAGAAGTCGATGTTCCCCCTCATGAGGCCTAGGGACGGTTCCCCTCCTAACTTTGGCATGCTCGTTCTGAAGCTTAGTCCTCCCACGTCAAACAAATGCGTGTTGAGTTTCACAGTCGAGTCTTGGCCTGTCGTCGTTGTTTGCAGCCATTTTTCTTGAAACAATACGAGAAAAAAAGACATCAGTTTGCATTCAGAACAGTTTCAGATATGCATCTCTGAAAAATAGTAAACCATCAATTCAGAGATGCAACTCCGAAAATGCTCGTGTTTCCATCAATGGCATAAACAGATACTAGTTTTACCTTAACAACCAAAATGCAATCAAACCATAGTGCATGTCTCTAACATCTATCTATTACGAATATTACTACTACCTAATGCATTTATAAGAATCTATTTTACCTAATACATTAATAAAAAATCTAAATAAGTTAAATGAGAAACTTACTCAAAAAAGTGTTGAATTAATAAGTGGAGTTAGTTGTGATTGAAATGCTTGTAGTAGAGGCAGTGCTTATCCTTGAAGAACCTTGAAAAATATACTGGAAATATGTTGCTACGAGCTCCAACGTTGCATTAAGTTGAGGATGAAAAAGTTTCAGAAAATGAAGAAGGAGAAGAGGGAGGGTTTGACGCGATATATATATATATATATATATATATATATATATATATATATATATATATATATATATATATATATATATATATATATATATATATATATATATATATATATGCATTAAACAGGTTCGGAGGTGCATCTCTGAATATCCCTTTGGATTTGAAATTAAGGGTTATTTTGGTGATGTATCTGCGGACAAACCCTAAAACAAATACGAAGATGCATCTCCTAATTAAATTTTGGAAAAGTGAAGAAACAAATACGAAGATGCATCTCTGAAAACTGAAGGCATTTTTTATTTTTCGCCAAGGGCTTGGGAGAACCTATAAGGGTGAGAAAAGATATTTCCCGCTGATAAATGAAGAAGGGCATAATTATAGATGGTTTTCAATAAGCTATATTCTCATGTCAAAATTGTATAGAATTTTGTGATGAGAGATTTTCTAATAATACCTCTGTCTTAAAATAAAAGTTGTTTAACACATTAAAAAAAAGGAGAAAATTAATGATTACTTGTAACAATTTTATAAAATTACCCTTATTTACTATTGGTTATTGTTCTGGTCTGGGCCCCGGTCTAAACTCGCGGCCCAACCCAATGATACACAATAAAGGCCCAATATGGTTTGAGTAGGACGGCCGGGCACGTGACCCCTCGACGGGCAGGGCATGCTCCCGCCGAGGAGAACATCGTGTCTCAAGACGCCTCCTGCGCTCTCCCCTTTGCGGGAAGGCGCTGCCAATCACTGCCCCTTGTCGGGCAGAACAGCCCTCCGCGGGCAGAATCCCCCTACCGCCGAGCAAGACAACGCGTCTCTCCCACACCCTCGGGTGCTCCCCTCCGTGGGGAGAACAATACGCCTCCGGGGAACCTCGCGAGCTCCCCTTCGCGGGGAGAGTAACGTGTCATGCGCACGTTCTCCACGTGCCCCCCCTCCGTGAGGACACGTCACCAACCAACTAACCACCTCCGAAAGAGCAGGTCAAACCCACTTCCCGGAGATCAAGGGGCAGTTGGACTAGGGCGAAGACCACGTCCTGGTCTTCACTACGCCACGTAAGCCCTAGCAGTCACCTGGGTTGGGCCTGTCAATTCAGCCCAACGCAAGTGACCGTTGGCCCAGCGTTGGGGTCTCTCTATAAATACCATCTTCCACAAGAGGGTCAGGTAATTCACTTCTTACCCTTTTTTCTGTACTTGTGATCACTCTACCCATAGACTTACTTTGGCATCGGAGTGCCTTGCAGGTACACCCCCTCCTCTTCCTCATCATCGGTGAACAAGCAGCAGTCCAACAGAGTGTGGCCAGCCAGCGATCCCCTTCTGATCAGGTCAGATTAGTTATAATAAATTGTCATAAATAAATAGTGAAATTTGATGACTCAAGAATCCATTTTGTGTGTGGAAGAGAACTTGGAGGTGGAAACAGTGGTTGAGTCTTTAGGGGCGGTAGCTATCACCTGCTCCCCCACAAAGAGGACATCAAAAGTCAAAGGGGAGTGTTAAGAGTAAGACTTGGAGCAAAGAAAGGTGTGGAAGAAAACTGAAACATGACCAAGTTAAGATCCTTGAATCTGCAGGAAGAAAAATGCATCTAATATATGTGGTGATGACAAATGGCTCTCTAGAGGACATTGGTAGCAGAGATAAAAATAGAAATCGAGTAGGTTAGAGAAGGTTGTTAGTACGAATAAACCAGAGGTGGTATTGCATGACCAACATTGCCTTCACCAATGAAACTTTTAAGTTGCTATTGTAGGGGGTTATGGAATCACTATACAGTTCAAGCCTTGTAGAGGCTCATTCCCTTGGAAAATACCGTTATGGTCTTCCTTATGGAGACTATGTTGAAATATTTTGATATGCATAGAGTTTGAATAAAATGCAGTTTTAGTTTCAGTCAAACTATGAACTACAAAAGGAATGGGAAAGATAAAGCAGAAGGTGTTGCATTATTCTGGAATGAGCCATTAAAGTTCAACATTCCCTCATACTCTCTCAGCCATATAGTGGGTTTTATGGTAGATGGTGAAACTCATCACCAATGGTTTTTCAAAGGCATCCATGGCTTCCCTTAAGAGCACAACAAGAGGAATACCATGGGACTTAGTCAGACATCTATATAGTGAGGTAGAGTAAAAATGGATCTATTTTGGAGACTTTAATGACGCTCTTGCTGAAGTCGATAAGAAGGGAGGAACATGTAGGTTAAATATTAACATCTGGCAAAAGAAACATATTATTAAATATTCATTATTAAAATCTGAATTCAATACACATAAGTGGTGGTGTACCACCATTAAATACCCTATTGT